AAAAATGGTAACTATTTTCCCCCTTCGCTTTTATAGCAATTGAATAATGTATCATTTGTATGTTAAGAATTTTAAAAGGTACAAGATTTGAATCGGTTAATTTTTATGGAAGAAAGACATATACATGTTTTGCTGGAAGAAATTTTTTTTTGATAGATTATGCCTGTAGAACAGAGGCTAACTCCATTGAGAGATTTATCCATTAAGATTTAATAAATCCAGTTGCTAAATCACAACCGTCTCCATTACCATTACGAGATATGTTTGACGTTCACATTTTTAAATATTTGACGTTTGCTTATGTATGATTTTACAAATACAGTTGCGGACATTGATATACAGACAGATAAAAGGAAGGCACCAAGCGGAATTTCATTATATGAATTCTGAATATTATTGGCTTCTTATTCGTGGTAAATATGTATGTATAATATATAGTTTGGAAAGTGTAAAGAATGGTACCATATTCCGAATCATTTTCCCGAATTTAAGAAAAATGATCAAAACGGTAAAAAAGTTTGCGGAAAGAAAAATTTTTATAGAACTCTGTTATTCATAGGAGGGAACCGAAAATCCAATCGTGGGCCTTTGGCATATCATGAATACGAACTGAGTTCTAGAGGATGTTCGGTGCAATGTTATCGAAGCAGAACCATTACCGAAATTTATAAATTTTTTGTCGCAGCGCGTAAATGACTTATAGAAAGCGGAGAAGACTCTGCATGATATTACTATAAAACATTTCTTCTAAATTTTTAGTTTTTAAAATAATATTTTCTTAATTTATTACAACCAAAGTTATGTAAATATGTATTACTAATTTTCCTCCCAAACTAAGTAAAAAATATAAAAATCCCTAAAAATACGAAAATTCATGTTTTTATGATAGGCTAGATTTCAATGTCCTCCACTGTATATTGAAAACACAAATGTCATTTGACTTATGGCATGTGAGTTTGTGGTTGCCACATCCAACAAATTGTACTTATTGATCAATATTGTTGAAGATTTGACGAAGATTTAACTTAAATCTACTGCCTTTCGAGATTTAATTTTATATGATAAATCTCAAAAGATTTAACGTCAAATCTCGTCAGAGGGCTAAATCTTCATTAAATCTCACAATGGAGACATAGTATAAGGTCCAAATAATAGAGGCACTGAAGTAAAAAAAGTGGAAAAATACCTTCCACTGATACATCATAAGTCTAGATCGGAATAGTTTTGGCCTAGTTATTTATTCAAGTTTTTCTTATACCAATCTACGAAAAAAGTTAAAAAACAGCATCAAAAATCTCATTATTAGGATTCCGTTGGATTTTTTTTTTAAATATTTTTGTGCAAATATTTTAAGCTTAAACGGTTTTGTCATCTGAGGGGATTTTTTTAAGTTCTTTAAGAAACTATTTTTTTTTGTTAATAAAAAACTCCATTTTTGGAGGTATTTTCAAATCGGTCCAGCTCACATAAATCTTAATATTTTTAGTACAAGTCTTAAAATATTATAGATTTTATAATTCAAATGGAAACACTACCGATTTTTATTTTTTTTTTGGTATGGGGAGTGATGCAGTTTAATGCATATACATATGTATGTGAGTTTGAAGAGCTTGAAATACTGGCCGGGAAAAACACCCACAATTTTTACCGGAAACGTAGGCGATCAGTAAGAACAACCACGGTGACCTAGTGGGCGATGTCTAGAACGGACTTAAATTATAAAGGGAACACTTTTCCCCCTACTGAATGGTAGCAGCACTGGGGCTCCCAGTCTATGACCACGGAAGCGATGTCCAGGCGCTTGACTATGACGAGGTACGAATAGCTATGGAGCTGACGGCCTGCCAGCTGAACTATTTAAGTATGGCTGCGAGGAGCTGATAAGGTGCATGCATAAACTCTTATGCAGAATATGCCAGATAAACGCATGCTCTACGACTGGAATTTATGTACAAAGTGTGCTCTGCCCAATTCACAAAAGAGGCGAGGCAATATCGAGCATATTGCGTATAAGACAGAAGCACACCGTCAACGAACTGATTAGACCTTATCAATGTGGCTTTACACCTGGCCAGCCCACCATAGACCAGCTATTCAAAATTCCCCAAATATTGGAAAAGACTCGCGGGAATAGGATCGACACTCAGCACTTATTTATGGACTTCAAAACCGATTTCGACAACACGAAAAGTTGTCTCTATGCCGAACTGTCTGAATTTGATATCCCCGCGAAGCAAATACGGCTGTCTAAAGACGTTTAGCAATACCATCATCTCTATAAGAATTGGGAAGGCCCTCTCCGAGCTGTTCGATGCCAAATGAGGTTTCAGACAGATGGAAAGGCGTCTGTTATTATCGAGGTGGGGCTTAATATTGGGCGCGCATGTGGCATTCAAAGGTGGTAATACCTAAAAGAAGAAATTTTCTTCTAAATACTCCATGCTTTCAAATTATCTTTAACAGTTACTGTATCATGAAAAAAAATTACTTTTACATCAAATATAACATAAAATTGAAATCGCAGAAAATGTCCATGTCCTCATTAAAATCGATTGGTAAACTGAAAATTTAAATCATTGAACCCAACAACCTATTGATCTCCTCAGATTCAGCGACGTGCTCCTCCTCATCCATTTTTTGGCCAACTATTCTTGCTATCCTAGTCGGTTGACCGGTTTCTTCTTCGACCACACGTGCCCGCGGTATACGGCAATCATCGTAAAATTCGATAGGTAAATTATGCTCAGAAATATTACACGGCGTTGAGGTAGTTGGTACATTTGTCAGCTTATCTTGCTCTTCACCTTTTCCTTCCACGTCTTCCGCTTCACCATCATCCGATGATTCTTCGGGTTGGCACTCACAACTCTCACAATCACATTCACATTCCGCAACACAGATAACACTCTCGCCATCACAATCGATTGGACATTCATGGTCTTCGGGTAACTCAAGGCATGGCTTTGTCAACTCTTCGTCATTCTCCTCCATACGCACCCATTGACATTGATATGTCGCCTGACCGCAGTCTGCACTCGAAACTCCGGTTACCTTGTCCACCTCACAATCACAAATTAGTTTTGGACAATTGCATTTGTAGCAGCGTGGCAAATTTAGAGAACTTTTCGAAGCTGTCTGGGTTGGTGCTTTGCCACCTGGACTAAGTTTACATGCCTCGCCCTGCTCGTTGGCATTCACAATAGCCAGTGCATGGCCACCTGCAGCATCCCCTTGCATGGGGCCGTGGATACTGTTCATACTTCTAGACGGTTTAGGCAACTCCACTACTTTACGCTGCACACAGGCTTCGCACGAGCATTCACTACCGACTAGCGGACTGGTGCGTGCTTTCATGCGATCGTACAGTTTCTTATATACGCACTTTATCAGAGATGCATAATTCTTTTGAGCGGAAAAGAACATGCCCTCGTAGCTGGCAAAGATTTGTGCTGTGCGCTTGGCGGCGTACGCCCATAGGCACTCCTGAGAGTGCGCTAATTGCGCTTCCAATTGTGGGCTTCGAATACTGCCTTCGCTGGTGCCGTGATAGAACGCCTAAGCGGAAAAAGTGCATTTAAAATGTGGGCCAACCAATTTCACATATCTTACCTTGAAAGCACGCTTGATGATGGAATAGGTGAGTTGTGCCTCCATACGATTCATGAGACATTTACGACCCAGATCATGAATGAGATCTTCCTTGCACAGTCTTTTACGTGGTACGGCATCAATACGATGCCTTATTTCATCATAATGAGTGAACGAGTAAATTATCACATCGATGGCCGCCTTCGCCTTGGCCTGGTGAATGCCGCAAATGACCATGATCTGCGCCAGCGTCTCGGACACATCGTAGACATTCTCCGTGAAGATATTGGTTTCAGATGTTTCGCGCGAGCAACTGCAAATTGTATGGCCATAGCATTCGCACTTATAATTTGATATGAATCTTTGCGATTTCATTTTGGTTAAGCAAATTAGATGTTGCACGTCTAAATTTTAGAAAAGAAATTTTTTATGCAATTTTTTTTTCGTATTTTTGGTTACAAAGAATTTATTTAAATATTTTTTAGACTGCTGAAATGAAACTTCAGAGGAAATGATATGTAATAGAATTGTTTGTATTACGTTTCCGGTAGATTTTGGAGAGTTTTTTTTTCTGGGACAATATGAAAAGAAATTCGGGGCGAATTCACTTGAATGGGTATCTTAATTTTTTTATTCGATAACGCAGATCTTATCTTCAGTCACATTTTGAAGATACAAAGATCGACTCTAAGTGGAGACATTGAAGAAAGTATATTGTAACTACTTAGTGTGTTCTATGTTCAATGATGACCCGAAAGAAGGCACAATCCCGAAACCGGTTTGTTTCCTACCCAAAATTGACAAATGTAAGTTAGGTTAAGTTGAAATGGCCAAAGGTAGACCAAAATACATCTTGGAGAGAGATCCAAAATAGGCATCATTTAGGATGTCAAAAGCTTTGATCTCTCTAGTAGCCATGGGTAATTGCGCAATTTTTTTTTGCGCTAGCTCAATAACGCCAGCGCCACCTGTGGTGTCAGCGCACTAAGCCAGCGCAATAGCGCAGTGTACTGAATTGAACACGGCGCCATCTGAGTGTCACCACAGTACCCATCGTCATACAGTGCAGTACAACACAGTGGTGTCATGTCTATTATTTCTATAAGCGCTGAGCAACGCTTGTACCGCCAACTGAATTTAATTGCTAGGAATGTAGTAAATGCCACGATATTCTATCAGTCTTGAGTAAAAGCTTTAAATTTGCGTTCTCAACACTCAAAAGCAAAAACAATGTATGTGTAAATTTTCAAAGAGTTAAGGCGAATTGTGTGTGCGCCTCTTATGTTGCTTGGTGTTAATGGCGCGGTGTTAACGCAATTGCGAGAGAGAGCGCAAATCGATTTCGGAAATATATTTTAACTTGTTTGTGCTGCACTAGCAATCAGCAATTATCCCTCCCGAAAGAAAAAACCTCTTTCGAAAGCCACTTTACATGCAAGGTGTGACTACTCATGCAACTGCTTTCTGAAATTTCTCGAATTTGACAGCATTATTGAAATATATTGCATTGCCACGTCTGACAGGCTCTTTAATAAACATATACTGCCTTATCATGAGTTTCATTTTCCGTGAATCGGTTCACTTTTCACTCTTGGTTTCCATGATTTTACTATGGGCAGATGACACATTTTCGGGTGAAACTCAGGACAAGGCAGATACGAAAATTTGTTTTAGAGAATCAATGTGAAATAATTGCAGAAATGATTAACCGCTTTGTTGAGCAAACAAGACGTCTGCTTTTTTAAATAATTTTTGTAAAACAAATCGGCAAGTATATATCGTCCCCCGCATGCCAGAAACAGGAACGTGTAAAAAGAAACATTTTGGGAAATCAAGTTTGAATGGTTTTTTTTTACGAGACTTATATAACTCTACATTCAAGTTTTTTTTTATTTTGCATTATGTATTTATTTCACATTTATTAATCTTTGATACGCCTCACAGTGATATTTGATACCAATTTTGTGACTACAATTTAAAAAATTAGTATATTCATATGAATTGAGGTTTAGAGGGGTTTTTGAGGTCGCTGAATTCGAATCTGAAGTCAAAATAAAAAAAAAAACAAAATGGCCGATCCAATTTGGTGCCTAAAATCTTAAACGCAAAAATGTTGTTAAAAATAATAATAAGAATTGCTTTTATTATATTATTTAAGAGTTCTTGCGGTAGCTGAATTCGAATCTGAAATTAAAATAACTAAAAATAAAATGGCCGATCCAGTATGCGGCCTAAAATTAAATTAAATGCGTTGAATTTGAAAAAGTATTTATAAAATTCAGCTCGTATTGAGTTATATTAGGTTTTTTATTTTTTATTTAAAATTTTTAAGTAAAAATGCTGTTGAATTATCATATGACCATGTACATGTACATATCTTACACGAAATTGGTTGAAAAAAAAATGATATAAAAAAAATCATCTTCAGAAAAACTTTCAAGATTAAAAAAAAGGTCGCACATGGTCAGATTCATTATTTGGTATTATATTTTAAAATAAATTTATCTTGAAATAAACATAAATTTTTTATTGGTGAAAGTTTCCTGTCAATATTCTTCTATTTGTATGAAAACAAGTCAATAAAATGTACATATGAGAAAATCCCACGAGTTTTTTTTAGTGTCGCTCCCTTCTCTCGGCAAAAAACGCTTAAGCATTCTTCTTGCATTTATTTCAATCAGTGGAGTACCGAAACAAGTACAGTAAAAAATATATCAAGTATTTGCACAATTTTACCCTCAAAACGTTTATTTAGGCAAAATAGTACCGAAATTACAAATTTTTTCATTGTCACTCGAAAAAATCATAATTGTTTTTTTTTTGTTTTTTTAATAACTTTGGTAAGTTTTCAAATAGAATTTTCATGTTTGAGGCAATGGGCGTTGGCACCAAATACAACATATTTGTGAAGTTTCAAAGTGCACCACCAAGTTAAAAAGAAAATGGCAGCTGCAGAATGTCTTTCGCAGCTATTTGGTTATTCTTGAAATTTTACGATTTTTTTAAATTTTAATAATGTAATTTACTTCAAAATGTTAAAATTAAAGGATGAAAATGTTCTTTTTTTCCAAAACGAACGAATCTAGTGTAATAAGACCAAATGAAAAAAAATTACATTGAGTAAAAGATGAGAATGATTTGAGAAACTAAAATTCTATTTTTACAATTTTTATTTGTGCACTCGAAATTCAATCTAAAATTGTTATACATATACATGAAGAAAGAAATAACCGTATATCTTCACTAGGCGCGCAATACCTCCTATCCGCCAAATGCAATACCCGTATGAGGTGGCTGAGAAAAAAATATATTATTTTCTGTACCCTGTCCCAGTGCTTGCTCTAAATTCGTTCCTGGCGACGCCCATGGGTCGAACTTGAGCTGCAAAGTGGCTAAGATTATTCTTTCCCCGGTATGGAAATTGGTCTTAGAACATTTTTAACAGTTTTTTTAAATAACGAATTCCGACGCAACTACAGTCCGAGCGAACGTTCAGATTCGGCTTGGTCTGCCGATTAATCGGCAATATTTTCATATTCGACTGATTGCTCGACTCCCGCAAAAAAAAATCGATCGAACTTTTTTTGCGGAAGCCGAACCTTTTTGCTATTTATATTTTTTTGAACATATACATATTATAATTTAAATACATGCATAGTTACATACAAATTATACATATCTAAGTGAGTAGTATTGCCACATCCGCATTTCAAACCAATTTTACCACACATCCACATCAATGCACATCCATATTTTTGCAAATGGAAGTACCCTCGTGAGATTGTGTGATTTTTCGCTTGCCTGCTGACGGCATCTCACATTCCCACAGCATCAGCAATCGATTCATAAATATTCAATACCTAATTATGTGGCAGCTACAGCGTCATGATATGGCAAATGCTGGCAGGCAGCGGTCTTTGTTGCACCAGCGAATGTTTTGCGCTCCAAATATGGTGCATACCACATACCGCTTGCGATCACACAAATTATCACAAAACGATGACAGCATCTGGCCGATCAACGCCAATCATCAATCTGATCAATGATCCTCGAATGGATCAGATTTGCGCTGATTGTGGCGACAGGTTTAAATGTACATACATACTCACATGAAAGTGCATACAGACATGCATACATGATAAAGTAAGTATTCACTGCAGATTAAAAAATAAAAAAAAACGGGATACAAATGTCTATGCAATGGAGTAAGGATAAAACAATGAACTAAAATAGAAGCCCAAAGCTTTGACTAAAAATTTAAAGAAACCTTGGTCGTGGTTCATAGAAGAACAGAGAAACGACCAAAAAATTACTGGGTGTTTTTTTTTTAAATATATTAACGGGTTATCTAACTCATTTTTCACGCAATTTAAAATTTTTGAGTTACGACTTTCTTTTCCAGCAAGCAAGCGTTATATCCATAGTTACTCCACTATTTGCTTTAAAAGACTGGGTGTTGAGCTTCACAGCAGAAAAGTCGATTTGCCAACAAGGCTAACGCTCTTGCTACTTACATACTCGCCGATACTTTATTGATTACTGCAGATCGATAAAGAACAGAAAGGCTGCAACTACTGCGCATGCCCAACAACAATTTAAGCTTGGCAGTGCAGCAGTGGAAAACAGCAGCTATTGTTGGAGCGTCTACATTTACGCTTTTCTACAAATTTCCACTAAAAAGCCGATGAACGCCAGCAACAACACGCAGGCTCATAGACGTACCGAGTAGCGACTGACAGCCTCAAGCCAAGTGGGGATACGGAAACCCTGCTGCGCGCAGCCGTGAAGGTGCAACTGCGTTTTTGTGTTCTTGCCAAAGTTCTGCGCTGCTGCTGCTGCTGCTGCTGATCTGCTGATGTGCTAGTGCTTTTGCTATTGTTGCAGTGCGTGGTGCCATGTAATGCCGCCAATGCGGTGAGACAATGAATTTGCTCACATTGACGCTGTTTGCCTTTTTATGGAGTTAATTGGATTGCACTCACTATTCGCCATTTGTCTGTTGGCTCATTCGCCCATCACCTTTGTTCATATAGTATGTATGTATGTATGTATGTATGTATATTCGCATCTGGTTTATATCGAAATTGCCCCTTATTTGATTGAAGTAATCGTTAAAGAGTTGATAGTCCACCAAGTCAATACAACCAACTGGATGTGTTTCTCGTTTCCGTTTACTCGTAAATGCCATTTAGGATACAAAAAAAAAAAATTAATTTAAGTTGGGAGGAAAAACGAACGTAAATCAGTTGATGTGGTGTCAGGAAAAATTTGCTGTTTGTGTTGTGAAATGCGGATAATGTCTCAATTTGGGCTTCCTGTTCTTGTCCATTTGGGGAGTGGTGGCATAATTTGCTCTATGCTGTTGTAGACAATAA